TAGATCCGAGGACACCACGGCATGAAGGAGGCTTGCCCAGGTGGGGTATCCTTCTCAAAAGCATTTACCCTCCAGTCTCTCCTCCCAGCCCCTCAGCTGAGCATCTCCCAAGGACACAAATTCACGCAATGTTGCCGGTTCTCAGCGCGCACCGCCCCAGCGAGCCCCCGGCAGCACCCCGTGCCCCAAACGCCCTGCTGCCTTCTGTCCTCAGCCCTTGAGCCACCCGGAGCACTCCTTCCCCTCGCCCGGACACAGATCAAAACCACCCCCAGCCCAGCGAAGGCAAAGCGGGGACAGTTCCCCTTATCAGTCTGCAGAGAAACTCACACCCACCCACCCCACACASAACCTCGGGGGTGTCCCCATCCTCCCCAAAACCGGCGGTGCGGCAGAGCCGGGCACAGCCCGCTGCTCCCATCTGCCACCCCTGCAGGAGGCACCGCCCGGGGCACGGAGCCAGCCCTGGATCCCCAAAAGTCGTTCCGAGGGAGCATCCCGGGATGCTGCCCACCCATCCAGCCCTACCTTTGCGGAACGGCATGGAGCGGGAGGAGGCAGGGCTGTGCTCGGATGCCTGGGTGCCGCGGACGCGAACGCCTTCTCTTTGATATATATATAAAGAAATATATTTTTCTTCTATATCTATATGTTTTCCTTCCTTCTCCTTGTTCTTTCAGAAGGAAACGGACATATTTGGGCAAAGCCCGGCAAAAACCAGCGTCATTCTGAGGGTGGCACTGCAGAAAGGAGGAAGTTCTTGGCAGTTTCAGAGCTTTTAACCCTTCGCTTTCCGGAGACAGCGGAGCTGGGAGGAAGGTGATAGGAACAGGACAMGGAGCTGATRGCGTTAGAAAGGAGTGGAGAGTAGYGAGAAAGGGGTTTTGAGTTGATTTATGGTGTTTTTTTTTAATGGTAGGATCAGTATAGAATTGAGTCTAATGGATGTGGATTTGATGATGGAGTTTTGGCCTCCTGCATCACTTGTGCTGATTTCTGAGCTCATCAGAGCACCAATCCCATCTCTGTGGTGGCACTGGGACAAACTGGGAAAACCCAACTGCTTCAGAAACAARGGGGTCAGAAACTCAGAGCCCCATGTTCAGCACCTGGGAACGATTCAGATTGGAAATTGGAAATTCAGATCCTTGGTGTGGATCAGATCCTGTGCTGGATCCTGAGGATGAGCAAATACCCCTGTCCTGKGTTCACAGAGCTGGGATGAGCCATCAGCTTTGGAGCAGCATCAGTTCTGTGTGTCCTCAGGTTTCAGCAGGAGGTGAAGGTGGAACATTTTACCTTGGGAGGGTTGTTTATTTTCACTGTGGTTCCTTTATGCCCTCCATTAAGGTAGAAAGAGGCATTGGCTTGGAGGTGGTTTAAGAGAAAGTCTTTGAACTGTGCACAACTAGATCCCATCCTTTCATCTAGGTGTTAAACAGCGATGCCATGAGCTCAGTGCTGCATCTCTGCTCCCTGCAAAACTGTTTCTCCCTCCTGGAGTCAGCAAGACACTCCTCAAACCACCCCTGTGGTTCTCTGACCCAGCAAAGCGTCCTTTTACCTTTCTCCCAGGTTCTCTAAAGCCTCCCTGGCCCTTTCCTGCAGGCTCCAGCCCCATGGATGCTCAAAGTGAGTGTTTTTCATCCTCCTCAGTGCAAAGTTTGCCAAGTTTGACTTAACCCCCACTGGAGAAACCCCTTTAAGCCAGTGGGTGAGGAGCACTAAAAAAAAAAAAAAGAAAAAAAAAAAAAATAGAAGCCCCCCGGACTGTTTTGAGAGCTGTGACTGCAACAGGAATGGCAGGGACAGGGACATCAAGGTCTCAAATGGCTTTGCTGCCTCTGCTCAGGGTGTGTTGGCTGCTGCATGAGCTGTTCCTGAGCCCCAGGACCCTGGGAGGAACAAAAATATTCAGGATTTGATGGTGCTGGTCTGCTAGGCTTCTTCCAGCAACCAGACTGGGGGTCTGCCCAAGCACATCGAGCAGGCAACCACTTCCTTTTGGAAAAACCATCCAAAAATGGAATTTCCCAGGATGTTTAGTAACCTTAACGGGCCACAGGCTGGGAAAATTTAAGGCAGGTGGACTGGACATCCATGTGCTTCTGCAGACAGAAGGAGAGCCCTCCTTCTCTTCATATGGCTCCACATCCATGGAAGGGAAGGACACTCCAGCCATGCCCAAGGACAGGGCAGCAGGACCCAGGAGTTCTGTTGGTTCACCTCAATTCTAACCCAGTTCTCTGCTCTGGTAAATGAGTGAAATYCCTTGGAGCAATGAGATTTCAAATCTCCACAAAACACAAACCCAGATTTTTACAGTTTTATTACCCAGGATAAATGCAGATTAGCAGTTCATCTCCAGAAGAATATTTCCAGCTCACAGTTCCAGTGCTTGGCAAAAGAAATTTGATAAAATATACTCAGGGTTAGACTTAAGATGAACTTGGGCATCTTATCCATGAAAWTCCATGTTTGGATTCTCATGTCCAAGTTTATTGCCCATAACATCCTGCACAGCTTGGAAGGGATGGACTTGATTCCTTAAGGCTTGGTTTTCTTCCCTGACACTGATCTTGCCTGAACACTGCCACTTCARCTCCAAAAACTTCCCAGGAGGAGCATCCCAGAGTTTTGTAGTTGCAACCAGGACTTGTATTAGAGGATGATGGTTCAGGTCCACATTAAGGTCCCTGTTCTGGGATCTGCTCCAGTTATTCTGTGCATTGTCCTGGAAAGATCTCAGATGGGACCATCCTTGGTGTCCATACTTCTGTTTTCAGTTTTCCCTGTGGGAAAATTCCARAAACCATCTTCCAAGCTCCAGCCAAAGCCATCACAGGAGTCAGAGCATCATTTCCTATATCAGATACTATTGGGTTTCACCCACAGAAAGCACCTCAGGCATCTCAGTGGTGCCAGGCAGTTTAAATAAGCAGAGAAGACTTCAAACATAGTCTGGGAATTTCTGATTGTGTGAAGATCTTCACCCCTTACTCATTGTTCAACATAATTTCTGTCTGGGATCTAAAAAGAACAACATAAAAGTAATAATAATTAAAAAAATTATGGAGAATCAAACTGGTTCCAAAACAAGATTTAGATGAAACTCAACAAAATCTGGTCCAGGACAGTGAAATCAGAGCATCTCTCCTGCTAGCAGAGTACAAATACCAGGCTGCACAGCCAGAGAGGGTGGAAATGGCTCAGCATCACTTGAGGTTCTCAGAACAGGTTGGGCAAACACAGTGGGAAGGGTTTCAGCCAGCACTGATTGTGCCCCGGGGCTGAGGGATGGTCCAGAAAGCCTCCTGGGATCTTCCCAAGTGCTGGTTTCTGTGGGAGAGGCATTTGGTTGGTTGCTCCCAGCTTTCCCAGCCATSTTCTGTAGGATGATGTCTCCAAAGGACACAAAAGCAGAATTTAATGACTGATAYGTTATGGAGGTTATTTAGTTAAAACTGACCCAGCAAAGGRTCCTTTTACCTTTCTCCCAGGTTCAAACMCCACATKTCATAGAAACACAGAATGGTTTGGGTTGGAATGGATMATAAATACAACCTGGTCCCAAATCCCCTKCCRTGGGCAGGGACACCTCTCACTATCCCAGGYTGCTCCAAGCCCCATCCAACCTGGACACTTCCAGGGATCCAKGGGCAGCCACAGCTTCTCTGGGCAACCTCTTCCAGGGCYTCCCCACCCTCACAGGGAGGATTTTTTTCCCTCAACTTCATCCTTAACCTCAGAAAAACCTTTTAGCCAGGATGGAGATTTAATTTGCCTTCCCCACCTTGCACTGAGTCCCTCTGCATGCACAACCAGGCTTTGCATCGAGGGGCACAGGGATGAAATGAGCTGCTCTGCACATACCTGAGGGAAGCTGAGACATCTTTACCTTTACAGGGAAGAATTGATCTTTGCATCAGTGACTGCCCAGCCAGGAAATCAGAATTGAGCTGCTCTCCCTTTCCAGTCAGTGAGATAATGGGTGGGAGCAGAGTGAGACAGGAATGTCAGGGCTTTCAGCCTGAGAATCAKCCATGGGGATCTCCTTCACTGCAAGGCTTGGGCTCTACAAGCAAATACRAATGCAAACAGCTCCTTTGAAATATTTATAACATTCAGAATTACTTGCATGGCACAAACCCAAGGAAGATGAGGGTGCTGGGAACTGCTGGCACTGGGTACACCAGGGGACTTGCTTGCATGATCGATCTGGGCTGCAGAGTTCTATTTTGTCCTTTTATGAGATGTCTGAGTGCAGGGGAAGGTTGCAGAGAGGCTCGTGACCTGTTCCTGCTGAGAGAACAGGCAGCACATGTCATCAGGATTTAAGATGCAGAAGAGACTGGGAACAATGAGCTTTTGGAGAATTTACAGCCAACCCCCACCTCGTACACTGTAGCCTGACCTTGAGAGATTACTTTTATTAACCTCTGGTATTAGCACTGACATCTTCATATCACAAAGATTAGGTGCTCTATAAAGGTGTGGAGACAAGATTGGATTAGAGAGATGCAGGTCAAAGACTTAGGACAAGGAGGAATGGCTTTAAACTGACAGAGGGCAGGGTTAGATTAGAGATTARGGAGAAATTCTTCCCTGTGAGGGTGGTGARGCCCTGGCACAGGATGCCCAGAGAAGCTGTGGCTGCCYCTGGATCCCTGGAAGTGTCCAAGGTCAGGTTGGATGRRGCTTGGAGCAMCYTGGGATKGTGGAAGGTGTTGGAATGGGATGACCTTTAAGGCCCTTTCTAACCCAAAMCATTTTGTCACCAGGTACTCTYRGTCCMTTGCACAGCTCTGGATCCTGATCTCCTGTTCTGCACCATTTTCAGCTTTTGAGTTTTGGGGAGAAAGAACTGGACAGCATTTCCCAGGAGTGACCTGCACGCAGTGATTACTGCAGCTGGCAGGTACAAACCCTCCTGGGCTTTGCTGCTGGTGCCAGCTCCAGCAGGTTTCTAAATTTGATTTAGAATTTCTCTTTCCACACAGGAAAYTCAGCTTTCCCTTCTCAATTGATTTCTGTGGTTTAGAGCTGCTACCACACACCCACTTGGCACTGAAGAGGAAATGTCACATTTGGAGAAACATCTGCATCCTTCTTCTGATGCATCAAGAGTGACAGATAATCAATTCTATTTCACACAGTCCAGGCTTGCTGAGGTAAATCCTTGCCATGCAGTTAACTCCCCCTTCTTTTTAAAACAGGGGGAAAAAGGGGATCTATTGATTTTATGATGCCAACACCATTATTTTTGAACATAAAAGCTGATAGCAGCCTCAAGTTTCCAGGCTTTTATATTCCCCAACACTGCAGGAAAAACAAAACCCATCAGGCTTTGCCCATGAATAAATCAGCCTGCTGGATAGAAACAAAACAAAGCAAAACACTTTAAAATGATCAGGTAGAAATCCAAGTGAAAAAAGGGAAGGAAACACATGGCTGGCATGTGACAGCTGAAGATCTTTTCAAAACTTAATTTCCTTATTAGCCCTAAATTTGTGACTTCCTCAGAAGAGCTGAGCCCTTGCAGGTGAACGTGATACTTCTGGGACAGTGCCTTCAGATGAATGGTATTGTGTTATATGGGATGATGGGCAGGGCTCATGTGGTGCAGGGARATGCAGGATCTTCCTCTGAAATTGGTGCTTGAAGCAAATCCCTGAATCCCAGTTTGACTACACTTCATTGCCACAGGATTATTTCATGGAAAGGTCTTTAAATTTTGCYGTGTTAGTGCAACAACCTCTCCTACAGGGAGGGAAGACATTGGGAATTGCTCCAGCTCACATCCTCTCCCAGTGGTAACTCAGCCTCACTACAACTGCASAAACMCAGCACTTTCCCACAGTGGAAAAAYGCAAAAACCCCACCAGTTTTCACTTCCCATCCTCCGGAGAGGAGCTCGGTGTGTTTTGCCAGAGTATCATTTGAGTTTTGGTTCGCAGTTGCTATACAAGTTTTACAAGTTCAAAGCAGAGAAGTCCAAAAGTGCTCCCCAGCTTTGTGCCTGCGGCAGAAGGTGGAGAAACCCACGGGGAGCTCAAGACCTTTGTCTTGGCAGGACCATGTGGATTCCTGAGCTGTTGACTTGCTGCAAACTCCCAAATGGAGGCCAGAAATCAACACCTTAGAGACTGGGAGAGGAAAAAACAACTCAGGGGCTGTGAAGTGGCAAGATGCTTAAAAGCTGCTTTGAAGAAAAACCCAYGTTCTTCCCAGAGGAGGAATAAGAAGCAGGAGCGAAGAAAGGAAAGGGATAAGCATCTTCATGGGAAAGATCTTGTTTTCCATGGAGCTGAGRTTGTTTTGGGCTTTAAGGATGTGCTGCWATTACTGGGGCTGCCAAATCAGGGCAGTGGGATATCCTGCATAGGAGACAGGGCCTGGTGGGTGCAAAACATCAATCCCCTTGTGACCACAGCTACTGGGCTGAAAGCTTGGGGTGGGTAATGTTGCTTGGACACAAAACGTTAGGCTGCATTCTCACATTTCTCTACTAACAACCATGTGCTCTGGGATTTCCCCATGTCCTGATGTGAAGAAGAAGAGAGGAAAAGCCATAAAGCCACAACCATGAGCCCAGCAGGGATCAGGAATCGGGGTGTGAGAGGAAACTTCTGCAGGAGCACACACACCATCCCTTCTTCACCTTACAGAATGTTTCCTTTAGCTTTCACGCCTGTTCTTCCATTGCAGCTTTTCCTCCTCAATGTCCATTTCCCCCTCATTCAAAGAGGTTTTTTTCTTACTGACATGGAAAGTTGTCTTTTACCTGCATACAAAAAGCCACCAGTGAGACTCAGCCCCACCTGACACAAACAGCAGCAAGGTCCCCAAAGGGGAACAGCTGACAACAGCCTCACCTTTGTATTTATTACTGCACAGTTCTGGTTAAATTAGCAAAAACAGGCACACACAGAGAGACTTTGTCATCCATTCTCTCTCTCTCTTGGACCAGAAGTGAAAGACTTTAGGTTTGCCCACCTTTTTGTCCAGCAGTTAAATGTCCTGCAGACTTTACAGCACTCCTTTTTTCCTTTCCACTAACTTGCATCTCAAGTGACACAAACCATTTTTTTTTGCAGTAAATAGGAGATAAAATCATACTGGACATTCAAAGTAAGCAGCATTTGTAACCCACTGACCTGCAGAAAGAGAAAGGCAATCTTACCAACCTAAGCACTCATTTAGAAAATGTTTTAGAGTTAATAAGCCCTTCAGTGAGGAAGAAAAAGGAACATCTACTCCTTTATTGCTCCTTTATACAAGCATGAGTATCTATGACTACAGCCAGAGTTGCCCAGGGGTTAAGGCCTGTCAGTTGTAGCTGATGTTATGAGCAATTCATATAATTACCATTTTTGCACCCTTAAAAAATCTCATAATCTGTGAAGCAGGAAATGTCACTGAAGTCTTTTCCTGAAAAAAGGTTCATTTTTGAGCAACCTGGTCTAGTGGAAAGTGTCTCTGCCCATGGTAAGGCTTTGGAACWAGATGGGCTTTGAGSTCCCTTCTAATTCAAACCATTCTATGATTTTACGATTCAAAACAAGACAAAGCAGGTGAATTTATCCACCAAACTACATCACAGGTAAAAAACACCTGTGTTCACATATTGAACACAAAGTTCAGGGCCACGTGCCCTGCCAGGAGCTGCCTCACCATCTCCAGCTGGACTCCAGAAGTTCCACAACCAGAAGCCAGTGGTGGTGTGTGAAGATAAAGCAAACTGATCAGATGATAAAAGGCACTGGGATTGCTCATTAACTCCTCTGCAGCTCGAATAAAATCACAGCATCACAGGGCAAGAGGGAAGTCCTTTATTGAAAGTCCTGTCTACAGGATACACCAAAAAAATTTCCAAGCCCAGGTGTTACTCCCAAACCCATCTGTAAATAACCTACATCTCCACAGAACCAGCACAGCAGAAACCCAAAGCTCCTGGCTGTGTCCTCTCATTGCTCAGGGACAGTAAATTAACGGAGCACACACTGCTAAACACAATCAGTTTGTCTTTAAGGACAATTGCCTGAGCACCTGAAGGCAGGAATTCTCCTAAGGACTCAATTATGATAGTACTGAACTTTTTGCTACAGAAAGCACTTGTGAAAAACACAGCAAGCCCTCCATGATTACAAGCAGCTCTTGCTTTTTTTTGGGAAAAAGAATAGGATTAGGCTTGCACACAGCTAGGAACAGTTTACCAATGGCAAATGCATCCATACGTGGCCCTCAGCTGTGTGGATGTTCTTGCTCTCTTCCAATTTTTAGAGAATTTTAACAATTTCTACAATTTTGGAAGTAGCTAATCCTGGACAGTGTTTTTATGAAGGACAAGAAAATCATCAGTAGCATCAGCAAGGATTCACCGAGGGGAAGTCATGCTTGACCAGCTTGATACCCTTCATGATGGAATGACGGGCCTGGCAGAGGAGAGCTGTGGGCATTGTCTACCTGGACTTCTGTAAGTCTCCCAAACATCATCTCCTCTAAGATCCTCCTCACAAAAAAAGCTCTTGAAGCTGCAGGAGCAAACACAAAAATCTGTGAATGCCTGGTCCTACTGACCAGTGGCAGAGGGTCTGGCTGGAGGCCAGGAGCTGTTGGTGAGCCCCAGGGGTCAATGCTGGGGCCAGGAGCTGTTGCTGAGCCCCAGGGGTCAATGCTGGGTCCAGTCTTTTTTAACTCCTTTATTAAAGCGAGTTTGCACATCACAAACTGCGAGGAGTGGCAGCCACTTGAGAGGATCATGCTGCTACCCAGAGGGACCTGGCAGGTTGGGAAGAGGCTGACAGGAACATCATGGAGTGCAAAGAGAAGTGCCAAGTCCTGTACCTAGGGAGGAGCAATCCCAGGCACAAACATTGGATTTAATTTAATGCAACATAGGGTGCAATCTTGGTCTTGCTCAGGGCCTCTTGCACCAAGTGCTGTAAGGACTGGAAGTTCTCATTTCCTCATAAGACTTCCGTTTGTGGAGCAGGAAGGATCTAAGAGCTTAAGATCCTCTTTGAAACCTTCTATGTTTTCCTTCCATSTTTAAGAATATTACACGAGGTTACAAAACACATTTTCTCTTGCACAGAAGGGTAAAACACCCAACCCACTCAAATCTCCCACAGGAGCTTGATTTCAGATAAGGCCCTCCTAAGGCAACCACTTACGCAGCACGTGAATTCCATCTCCTTCTGAACTTATTTCAGAATCCAAAGCTCAAGGCTCAATTCAAAGAGAATTTACCATTTTCTGTTGCCAAAATAAAAAGCAGCTCCACAAGGAATGTGGGTTTTGGTTGCACAGTTGCAAGCACAGGGGAATAGGGTGTAATCCCAACTCTCTAAACCACCTTCTGCACATCCTTGGGCAAGATATTTCTTGTACCTGCCTCCCTTCCTTGATGGCTGTTCAGACAGAAAGTTCTTTGGGGCAACAACTCTCACCTTTCATGCAACAGTGGCAAAGCAAACTTAGAYTTTGATGCTAGTAATGTTAAAAATGCAAGCTCCATCTCATCAGATTTCAGTTTGACACTGAGTAGACAAAGTGATAAACTGACAGGTGAAATTCAACATAGGTTAAGCGCAAAACCGAGCAGGTGAGAAAATAAATCAAAACCTATGTGCTTAATGATGGGCTCTGAAATAGCAGTTAGTGCTCAGCAACATTTGTAACATTTAGGAAAATAATGAAGTCACTAAATCCCTATTTGAAATAGTAGCCAGTGTTCTGAATTAGAAGAGAACAACGCAGCAAACGGTGATGCCACTGYGCAAATCCCTGCTCTTAAGACCTCAGGGTTGTTAATGCACCACGCACCTCATTCAGCTCTGGGCTGGCACGTCCTCCACGTCCCTCTCAGCCTCCTGSCTGCTTCAGGACACTCAAATCTTTCTAAGTAGGCATCTAATCTGAATTCCCAGAAGCAATGAACAGTTCATACTTAGCCCAAGAAGAGATGCAGTTATTCAACACATTAGAGAACCACAGCATTTACACAGGTACCTAAGCCAAGGAATTAAAGGTTAAATTTAGGAAATCACACCTGCAACATATCCACTGCTTCACCTGAAGCATTACAATCAATCCTACACTGCCAATAAGGCAAATGCTCTTAACAGCCTGTCATCCTCCTCATTTTCTGCAAAATCAGAACCTTTCA